TTACCATAACATATAACTCACAATTTACAAATCATGATTGATTGAAAGTATACATGCTTTATTTTATTTTACATGTTATTAAGATGTAATAGACATGACAAATAAATATGTGATAAAGTAGTAACATGATTAAATACATAATATTAGGGAATTTGATGTATTACCTCAGTTACATATATGCTCCTGATATACCGTACACAAAAAAAAAAATAACACACATTTTTAGGCAACAACGAATTGATATTTACAAATGACACAAAATTCCCATGTATTTGGGACATAAAAACATTCGCAAATGTATTTAACCAAAATTTCATAAATTATATGGGCCACTATACAAAATGAAAAAAATGACCATTGTGTCATTGTATAAATAAATGTAATCCAATCATATACCAAGTTTGGAATGGAATTAAAAAATTCCAATCCAATAAATATTGTTTTATGTACGTTTTGATGCTAAGGTGTAAGAAGACAATGGTGTTTGATGCTAAGGGATGATAAAGGCTTTGCTGTTATGTTTTGTATGTTGTTGTGCACTAGTGGATAGCGATGCTGCTTAAGCAAAGTGCAGAAGGGCATTTACTTAAGATGCAACCTGGGCTTGATTGTAACTGAATTTATTCTGTTTTGCTTCCCGTAACATAAGTTTTTTGTTTTGTTTCTTGTCACAAATGCTCTTGGATTTTTTTTACCGGTTTTTTCTGTTTTTTGTAATAGAATTTGCTGTTTGATTCTTGTAATTTTCTCATTTCATTCAATAAAACAACCTTTGGACAAAAAAAAAAAAAAAATTAATTTATTGTATTACATCAAATTTTTCACTTGCATCAGATTAACCTCAAATAGATCTACACCAATGGGAATTTTTTGGTATTTACCTTTATAGTCACCTATATTATTAAAATAATTTCTCATATTTAACATATTTGCCTTTACAGTCACCTATATGGGACGACAGAGATGTCTTCATGTGCTCTGTTTCATAAAGAAAGTTAAAAAATACATCTACCAAATACTATTCAACGGGATGAATCTGGAAAATGGATTCAACCGTCCACAACAATTGACACCAATGTTATCAAAATTGGACGTGGACGGGTCGAGGACTAGGTCAATAGTTTACTGGTTCAACCATCAGGTCAACTGGTCAGACCGATCATATAATAAAAAAATAGATATAATAATTATAAAACATAATAATTTAGCCAAAAAAAAATAAAATGTGTGTAAACTAAAAAAATATGATATTGATAAAATACCATNAAAAATAGATATAATAATTATAAAACATAATAATTTAGCCAAAAAAAAATAAAATGTGTGTAAACTAAAAAAATATGATATTGATAAAATACCATACTTCAAAACTGATAAAGCAAAAAATATTAAAAAATTATACCCAAATCACCAATATAAAATTTTGCTAGCTAGGAAAAAAAAACCACATCATGTACGAAATCTAAAAGCATATTTTATGACTCAAACTCTCAAAGCACATCAAATTAGAACCACATTAAAAATAAAACCTCAAAACACATCAAAAGTAAAAATCAGAGTCACAATAAAGTGATAAATACTATTCATATTATACTAATTTTTCCCATGTAATCAGCCATCAGGTGGTTGGCGTAAGCCATGAATGAAATGAAAGAGTGGAGCTCCCCTCTTCAGTGATCCGGAATGTCGAAGACAAGAGAGAGCTAACCATCGTATGCCTGAGAGCAAGAACACAAACACCCCGATACAAAAAGAGAAAAAAGACTATGAGGAGAAAGGAGGGGTTGAGTGGGTGATATGTTGCCGTATATGTGAGAGAGGAGAAGATCTGATCGATTTAGATTTTAGGACAAATTAGCTCAAAATGGGGCTTTTATGAGCTTCAACAGCCGAAGAAAATGAGCTTCTGTTATATAGACAGAGAGAGAGAGATCTAATCTGGGAGAGAGAGTACAGTGGTCCACACTAGTGCAACCCAAACCAAGCTATTATAATATTCTACACAGACAAATCACGATCACAAACATACAACAACATACACCAAGACAGAGAGAGAGAAACCTGGAAATAAGCCTTGGACTTTGGCACCGTTAGTGGGGGACCAGTGGGGGATGAAGTGTGCTGGAAAGTGATGGAGTTGGATTAGCAAAAAAGACTGTTTAAGGGTGTTTATGTAATTTTACATATATCCCCTTCACTACATTTTGAATCTCTCCATTCACATGGGTTGAGATAATCCTACGTTGGGTGGGATAGATTATCTCTTCTGCAACACTACGCCGATTTCTTGAATCCCACCGAGGAGCCCATTCCAACTTGTTCAACCAAACCAAGGATAAGTGGGTTCATTCACTTTTTTAATCCAATCCCCCTTGCAATCCCCCCAAATCTTTTGATCCAAACACCACCATAGTCAGCAAGAATTAGACAACTTTTGCTACCAATTTGAATTAACCATTTTAGGGTAAGATTATAGTATAAGAGAGATTATCAAAAGTTACACTTTTTTGGAATAGGTTATACCAAGTGAGTTAGAGGTCAAGTTACCATAAAATATTAGAATCTTACTATCAATTTCCAATATTAGAATTGATCCTAAATAACCCCATTTATTTTATGTCTTTTAAAATTNGTCAAGTTACCATAAAATATTAGAATCTTACTATCAATTTCCAATATTAGAATTGATCCTAAATAACCCCATTTATTTTATGTCTTTTAAAATTGAGTTGCACATCGCCATTATTTAATAATAAATTTAATACAATATCAAAAAATAACTTGCTCAACTTACTCAATTCAGTATCCTTAATAAACGGGTTATCCATAGCACCCAAAAGTCTAATTATTGTCTAATAAAAAAGTAACACATGTAGATTTTTTTCATTTATTTTATCATTAATGTCATAAATTCAAGAAACAAACCATAAATTTTGATATGATATTGAAAATTTAAGTTTATATTAGCATTTGATGAAAAATTTTGTGATGAGTCCCATCATCCAACAAAAGTGGCTACATNCCCATTTATTTTATGTCTTTTAAAATTACGTTGCTAATCGCCATTATTTAATAATAAATTTAATACAATATCAAAAAATAATTTGCTCAACTTACTCAATTCAGTATCCTTAATAAACGGGTTATCCAAAGCACCCAAAAGTCTAATTATTGTCTAATAAAAAAGTAACACATGTAGATTTTTTTCATTTATTTTATCATTAATGTCATAAATTCAAGAAACAAACCATAAATTTTGATATGATATTGAAAATTTAAGTTTATATTAGCATTTGATGAAAAATTTTGTGATGAGTCCCATCATCCAACAAAAGTGGCTACATAAACTTAAAAAGTAGATTTGATAATCTCAACTGTTGATTTTACCGTGGCTTTCAGCATTTTATTGAGACTCATTACCTATTCAATGGTTGAGATTATCAACTCTAATTTTTAAGTTCATGTAGCATTCCTCAACTAAATATAGTCTACAAGTATCTCTATCTTTTCTCGTTAAATATTGATGAACCCCCAAAGGCAACGAGACTCACGGTATGAACACTTTTGCTCCGTACTCCACACACACACACCCTCTTACAATTTTATTTTTTTTAGTTTTATACCCTTGTCTGTTTGGTTTATTAGGTANTGAACTTAAAAAGTAGACTTAAAAATTAGATTTGATAATCTCAACTGTTGATTTTACCGTGACTTTCAGCATTTTATTGAGACCCATTACCTATTCAATGATTGAGATTATCAACTCTAATTTTTAAGTTCATGTAGCATTCCTCAACTGAATATAGTCTACAAGTATCTCTATCTTTTCTCGTTAAATATCGATGAACCCCCAAAGGCAACGAGACTCACGGTATGAACACTTTTGCTCTGTACTCCACACACACACACCCTCTTACAATTTTATTTTTTTTAGTTTTATACCCTTGTCTGTTTGGTTTATTAGGTATCAAAATGACTTCTCCCTACTCGACGTTAGGGTCTTTCTAACCTCATGTTGATTTTGCAACTCATGAATTGAATGAAAATTAAAGACTAAGGATGCACTTCAACGGATTTTAGTGATTCTATGGATTTTATCCGTACACCTTGTAAGACCATCTCTAATTCTTACATTTTTAAAAAAATGGTAAAAAACTCTAATAAATATGAAGAAAAATCTTTTTTCGAAACCCAAATCAAGGAAGACCCTTTTTTTAAACTAAAATCTTTAATGATGAGATTACACTCTCTTTTAAAAATTCAATAGTCATATTTTATACTATTTTAAATTTGAATTTCTCCTCATTTAAAATTAAGTTTATCTTCTTTTAAAAAAAAATTTGTCTATTTCAGAGGATTATACCAAATCAATTTTTTTAATTTTTTTACTTAAATTTAAGTAAATATTTGGATTCCCATTAGATATCTCGACACTAATATAATCCTTTCTGGCTCCAACAGACCAGCANTGATGAGATTACACTCTCTTTTAAAAATTCAATAGTCATATTTTATACTCTTTTAAATTTGAATTTCTCCTCATTTAAAATTAAGTTTATCTTCTTTTAAAAAAAAAATTTGTCTATTTCAGAGGATTATACCAAATCAAGTTTTTTAATTTTTTTACTTAAATTTAAGTAAATATTTGGATTCCCATTAGATATCTCGACACTAATATAATCCTTTCTGGCTCCAACAGACCAGCACGCAACTGTGGGATTATAAGAAATAGAACTCGTGGAACGCGAGGAACACGCATATATGCATTTTTTTTTCCCGCACGTGCGCATATATGCATTGCCATCTTATAACTCCCTAACCATATTTTTCCCCATTGTCAGACACACTGTAAGAACCCCATCAACTTACAAAATCTGTGTGTGTGTGTGTGTGTGAGAGAGAGAGAGAGGTTCATATTCCAATCCATTTTTTTACCATGGATGAGGGTTTGTCAGTGCAAGAAAGAGAANGAGGTTTATATTCCAATCCATTTTTTTACCATGGATGAGGGTTTGTCAGTGCAAGAAAGAGAAGAGAGAAAAGATAAGAGCCTAACATGGGGTGTGTTGGGTCAAGAAATGAAGAGGTTATGCTACATAGCTGGGCCTATGTTTGCTGTGATGTTATCAGAGTATGTGTTGCAAGTAATATCGTTGACGATGGTTGGTCACCTGGGTGAACTTTATCTTTCTAGCTCAGCCATAGCTCTCTCTCTTTGTGGTGTCACCGGTCTCAGTCTCTTGGTTAGTATCCTCCTCCTTTTTCCCTTGCCCGAGACTTCTTGATTACTATAATTGGGCTATTAAAGAACAGATTACTATCATTGGGCAAGTTACATTTTGGCCCATTCAACTGTGGCATCTATATGATCACCATTTGAAATGTTGAATTTCATGCGTTGTCTTCTTAACTACAGCATTTTCTGTCTTCTTAACTACGTTAGCTGATTTCAACAACTTGAATTGATCTAAATATTCCTAAATGCAAACATCCATAATCCTTTGGATGGGAAATGCCCATGTATTGGGGAAAAATGAAACAAAGCTCATAGTTCTATGTGAAAATGAGCTAACTTACTTTACATTTGTTATAGACTGACCTAGTTGAAGGTGCAAATAATAGTTCAGAGGATAATGTGGGAAAAAGATCATAACATGAAATAAGAGCTTACAGTGATAGACTTAAAATAGGATAGTTACAATGGTGAAGTGAAATATTAGGGCAAATATTCATAGTGAAAATACATACACTCTGGAATTGTATATAAGGCAATATGTGCAGCTGCCCCTGACTTGGCTGGAAAAGAAGAAAGCATCACTGCACATGGTACAACCCTCTAGCAATTGGTATCTTTATTTCAGAGGCACTCATCTTAATTACTTGTGGTAGTGGGCAGTTTCATATATTTTTATAATTATTCCGCTTTTAAAAATCATTTCATGTTGTTTGCTCGCAACCTTAGAGGGATTATGCACGAAGGATGGCTTTGTTATTAGTAGAACAGAAATTTTTGTGGCATATTTTCCGAAAATGACCAATCAACTAACAAACACATGCACACGCTTAGAGATTTTAAGAAATAAAGTGGCTATTCGAGTAGGTGATTGAATGGAGTGGAGTATTGAACTTTCCTTGAAACTTATTAGATTATGAACCATTCAAAACAGGCAGGAATGTCTGGTGCACTGGAAACTCTCTCTGGGCAGGCTTATGGAGCTCAGCAATACGAAAAAATTGGAACTCAGACTTACACGGCTATTTTCTCTCTCATCATTATTTGTATCCCCCTCTCAATCTTGTGGATGTATATGGGTAGAATACTCATTTTGATACACCAAGATCCTTTGATTTCACATGAAGCTGGAAAGTTCACAATTTGGCTTATACCTGCTCTCTTCTCTTATGCAACTATCCAACCACTTATTCGATACTTTCAAATACAAAGTGTGGTCATTCCCATGCTCATAAGTGCATGTGCTACTCTTTGTTTACACATACCTCTTTGTTGGGTACTAGTGTTTAAGTCTGGATTAGGTAACGTTGGTGCAGCATTGGCTACTGATATTTCAATGTGGTTGAATGTGATCATGCTTGGTTTATACATGAAGTACTCTTCCACCTGTGAAAAAACCCGTGTCCCAATTTCAATGGATGTGTTCAAAGGAATTGGAGAGTTCTTCCGCTTTGCCATTCCTTCTGCTGTTATGCTTTGGTAATCTCTCTCTCTCTCTCTCTCTCTGTGCGTGCGTGTGTGTTTTTTAAAACATTTGTGAGGAATGTTTGCCAAGTACCGTTATTATTTACTTGTTTTCACATGTTGATGACTGCAGCCTTGAATGGTGGTCATTTGAGCTAATTATCTTGCTGTCAGGACTTTTGTCAAATCCAAAGCTTGAGACTTCAGTACTGTCTGTATGGTATGTTCTGTCAGCATCTGAAATTCTCAATGCCTCGGTTATCTTTAATCTTAATGATAACATTTTGGATTCTGTATTTTGGTATTAAGATAATAATTATCATCTCTTGTGCACTTTGTAAACAGCCTCAACACCATTAGCACACTCTATTGCATAGCATACGGACTTGGTTCTGCTGTAAGGTTTGCTCAAAATTCGATGCACTGTTTAGACATGTGCACTGCAGTAAGTAATCTATGCTGTGTGCATACCATTTTGTATATTGTACTTATAATGTCTTTGAAATGGTTTTAAATTTTTCAGCACTAGAGTTTCGAATGAATTAGGAGCTGGGAATCCAAGGGGGGCTCGTGTAGCTGTGTTTGGGGTGATTCTCCTTGCTATCATACAAACAGCAATAGTTAGTGCAATCCTCTTTGCGTCCCGCCATGTTTTCGGCTACATGTTCAGCAATGTGAAGGAAGTTGTGCATTATGTCACAACCATGGTTCCTCTGCTTTGTCTGTCTGTTGCAATGAATAGTCTACAAGCAGTCCTTTCAGGTTAGATTTTTTTTCCCTATTACTCCGGTCTATCTTAAGAAGATGAAATTGTATTTAATCATTCGACGTTTCTTTTATCTGGATCAGGAGTTGCCAGGGGATGTGGATGGCAGAATATAGGAGCTTATATCAATCTTGCAGCATTTTACGTTTTTGGAATTCCTATTTCTGTGGCATTGGGTTTCTGGGTGCATTTACGAGGAAAAGGCCTTTGGATTGGAATCCAAGCTGGTGTTATTCTACAATCAATTCTGTTCTCTGTAATAACAATTCGTACAAATTGGGAAAAACAGGTTCAACCTCATCCTTTTTTTTTTTTGAACTAAACTGAAATTGTTTTGTTGTTGTTTGGCTTTATGCACGTGGATCTGCCTCTCATCTGAGATCTATTTATTGCGTTAACACATCCTCTTACTAAAGAAATACGACCGATGTTACAAACAGATGTGACATGATCGACAGAGGTTCCCTAAATCCAAGAATAACAATGAGAAAATTTTGGAGTCCGCGAGTGAAATTTTAAGGCTCGGGAACTTCCAATTTCTCTTTTTTTATTTTTCCCTTCCTGCTTCAGCAACAGAATGGAGAACTAATAAAAGAGGATTTTGATATGTTATTGTGATCATTGGATTGAAAACCTAAAGTAACAATCAATCACAAGCCTTACATCTTAACAGGATTTCGAAAGTGTGTTGTTCATACTCAAACCACTCTAATGGTAATTTTTTTAATATTGCAGGCAAAGCTGGCAAGAGAAAGATTGCTTGAGGAAATATCTTCAGCTGCTAATGGATTAATGTGAATTGAGATGAAGCCATGGAGCAGTTGTAAACCTTTACCCAATTATGAAATAAGATCAGAACTCATGTTTCACTCTTTCTGGCACAAAATTTTCTGTAAAATTGCATTTACATGTTGCATTTAAATACATTTTTCTTTAACTCGAAACGATAGTTTAATGGGTAACAAGAATGAGTTGTAAATTCAGACGTCTTTAAATTTGAATATTTGCAATCCATTGGGTTAAGTAACGGAAAATTTATCTCTCGTGAATACCCTAATCTCAATGTAGATGATTTAGTCGGTCCTGACCGATGAAAAAAAAAATGCTTTTGACAGTAGTTGCATGGGGGAGAACCATTACACCTCCTTTTAGCTAGCAAGATACAAAAAAAAAAACACATTCATCACCATGGCTTAAGAAAGGGTGTCGTGTATTAAGGGTGTAGACAAGTGCCAATCCAAAATATTTTTAAAACAGTTAAAAAAATCACAGACAAGCCCCATAAAATCACCCAATTTTAATTTAAGTGCGATCTAAATTTGAATCCGATTATTGGAGATTGAATGATTTTTTGGCCGATCATTTGAATTCAAATCAGTCATATTATGCCTCAAGATGGGTTAGATTTACAAATATCCGATTTGATTTAAATTTATAAAAATATATAAATAGATTTTGAAACTCAGTGAATATTTTGATGAAATTGAGTTAAAATTTAGGTGTAATTGCATAAAATATATGGATCGAATATCCATATTTTTACAAAATTAGATGTGAACAGTGAAAATAAAATCTATATACTAAAATAACTAGATTTCCTTATCTTTAATTTTTTGCAGCTCAAATTACTTGATGATTATTGATCCGACAATCTTAATTGGACTTTCATTCTTTTTAAAATTCTAAGACTTTCATCTCTCATGTAACTCTCTCTCTCTCATATCTCTTATATATATATATATAATAAAACAGTTAAACGTTTGAAATTTTATCACACACATATTTTCTCTCCCAAAATCATTCTATCACTTATTTATATCACATGTTTAATTATTTAATATTTGATTAATTTGTAGTTTAACTTAATTTTTATTCAAACATTATCTATATACGATAGTATACATATGTTGAAAAAATTTGTCGGATTACGTATTTTTGTCGATATTTTTTAAAAAATAATGGGTAAAAATATATTTTAAAAGATGTAATCAAATAAATTAAGGAAATGAAAATTCTTATTTACTATAGTGGGATCGATTTTTTAAATGCTCGAATTTTATGTTTTATCGTGTCTTCAGACATGAGTTATGACTAGTTCATAAATAAGCGAATTGAATTCAAATAAAAATTTTCAATTAGGATTAGGTCTGTTAAAATCTGACACGTCACAATTAACTAACACGAATCGACACGAATTAGTCGGGTTTGGATGAGATCTTTAATGAGCTCAAATTTGACTGGACTAAGCCCAATTTAAATAAACCAATAAAGCCCAAAGAAGAGCCCAATTGAATCTGGGTCGACCTATCAGGAGGAAATTCAAAAGGACATTAAGAGGTCAGCGCCCAAGAGGCCAACGTCTAAGAGGTCAACGCCCAAGAGGCAGATGTCCAAGAAGCGAACGTCAAAGAGGCGGACGTCCAAAAAGCTAACGTCCAAGAGACGATCGCTCAAGAGGTCAACGCACAAGAGACCAACGTCCAAGAGGCGAACGTTTAAAAGGCGAGCGCGCAAGAGGCCAATGCTCAAGAGGCCAACGCCCAGAGCACCAAAAGCCAACGCCCAAGCACTTGGGGTGCCACCAAGGGGTTCACCCAAGTCAGGTGCTGTAACACCCTGATTTTTCGGACCCATTACTTGATTAAATCAATCGATCGATAATAAACTATAAATAAATCTCTGAGTATAGGGTCAAAGCTCTAATTGCCTTACTAAATTTTATAATCACAATTTTTGATCCCCAAATACCAATAAAATAATCTCCTCAATATAAATACGAAGTTGTTCAAATTATACATCACCCCAATAAACCCACAAAAGTTAAAAATTATATCAAGATTCGTCTGTCTTCGATTCTTCAAATATTAACTCTAGTTCTTCCCTCAGAGATAATCCTAAAAAATATTAAAGGCGGGGAAGTATACAATATGACAGAAAACAATATACTCAACGAGAAAAGAATATAAATGATCAAATACTAAATAATTCAATCGATAGACAATCATAGATAAAAGAATCAAGAATTCAATTCGATAAATCACATAGCTCAATATCTATCAAACTTAGCCTCATACTCGGGTTCTCTTGGTGACATGACAAGTGACACATGAGTATTTAAAATTCATATTTATATCGAACCATTACACCCCTCAGAGCTGTAATCACAATAGCACCCCGCAGGGCTATAATCACATTTCATCAATTATGCCCCAAGTATACTTCGTACATGTACCAATCAATCCCAAAGTATATAACCCAACGTATACGTACAAGTCAACCGATAATATTGATAGAATTTCATATAAATCAGAATAATCAATATAAATACAAAATTTCAGATAATAAAATGATACTCTTTGCAAAGAGATATAAAAGACAGAAGCATATTGTATACTACCTCGTACCTTAAATCCATCAATGACTTCAATAGATGCAATATTCGAAATACCCCGAATCAAATAGTCAAATTTGATAGCAATCTAAAATAAAATCACTGTTCAATTTTTTGACCCCAAAATCTCATAAATTTTTTTCTTTTATTCCATCTGTCTCTCTCTTTCTCTCACTCTCCTTCTCCTTCTTCTCTTCCCTTCTCTCTCTCTCTTTTTCCTTCTGTGATGTGTCGTTCAAATAGCTTGGACTTGGCAATTTATAGTCAATTCTTGCTTGGTCTCCAAGCATCTTATGAACACTTATCCATGTTATTATTTTTTTTTCTTTTTGCACGTTTTCAAATATTGTAAAAATCTAGAATAGGATCTTTCACACACACACATATATATTATATGATTACAATATTTGACTTAAGTTATAGTCGTTTGACTTGTTTGCACATAAGAAATTCATATTTGAAATTTTTAAAAATCACCCTTAATTATATGGAATCATAAGTGATGACCTAATTATTGTTTTAGTGATTATTTTATATACGGGTTGTCACTGGCGCCGCCCAAGGCTGCCCCCTGATCCTCCTACATCCTCTTGACTCCAATGCAAGGTCAAGCCTACTCCTATTCAAGTTCAAGGACAACATCAAGCCCAGTCCATCTTAGAATCATTCTCCGACAAAATAGGGACACGAGCGAGAGAATATCAGGATACGTAGATCTAATCCTACTAAGATTGTACTTACCAAAATTGTAGAAGACTTCTCCCTCACGTCACTGCCTCACCACCTCATTAAGCCTAAATAATGTAAGCCCTTTTCACATAGAGGGCATCTTCATATGACCTTGAGACCCCTACACCCATCACTCATCTCTCTCTCTCTCTCTCTCTCTCTCTCTCTCTCTCTCTCTCTCTCTCTCCTAAAAGCATTGTAATACTCCCGGAGTTACTCTCCCGGTGACATGATTCATCAATAAAGATCTCCGACCACAACTGCCGTTCCCGAAAGTAGAGTAGGTCATCCGGACCGAACTACTATAAATCTCTGTGTTAATTCTTTATTTATGGATTTATCATTAATTGCTTGTTTATTACTCATTGACTACACCTTTATAAATCCTCAATTGTTGACCTTGCACAATACTAATTTGTGCTTCATCAATCTTAACGGGTTTGGGTAGTAAACGAGTTGACTCATCAAACACGTTTAATAAATAGTTCGTGTTCGGGTGAAACTTGTCAAACCGTTTATTACACGTTTACCCATTAAATAAAATTAATATAATAATTAATTAATAATTATTTAAAAAAATTAGCCAAAAAAAATAAAAAAAATTAATAAAAAAAAAAGTAAAATAGTAGTTAAAAGACAAAGGAAGGGAGATGAGGAACAGTTAATGACAAAAACAAACCAATCTCTTTTATTTTTGTCCCACACTGGTAAATGAGTGGAGATGGAGAGGGTTGTCTTGCCTATAAAAGGCAGTGGTCTCTTGCCTTCTTTTTTAGCTTTCAAGTTTGATTTTTATGTAAAATTTGGTTAGAAATTCCTCTTTTTTGAAGTAAATACAATTGACAGTAAAAAAAGTGATGTATTAAAATTTGTTGATATAATTTATATAATTTTTTTTAAAAACTAAATGGGTTAAAACGAGTCGTGTCATGTTACCTATTTATTAAACGAATCGTGTTATCCATTTATTAAACATGTCGTATTCATTATTTTTTACTCGTTTATTAAACGTATCGTATACGAATTTACATATTTTTCATTCATCACCCGTTTAATCTGACATATAACCGTTTAACTTGATACATTTGACACCTTTAATTAGGATTCTGAATCGGGTCACTATAAATTCGATCCACAGCCTAAGCACGTCACCTATTTAATTTGATATGTAACCGTTTAACCTGATATGTTTCACACTCCTAATTATAATTCTGAATCGGGTCACTATAAACTCGACCCACAGCCCAGGCGCCACCAATCCAAGGCTCCAAAACAATGTCCTAGTGGGACCGGTGATCATCGGCATCGCATAACAAAACCTCGACACTAATAAGTGACGAGGCCGTCTCTGGACGAATTGAGAGAGAGGGAGAGAGAGAGATGGGGAAAGCAGCCAGAGAGCAGCTGAGTCGAACCCTTAATGAGCACCTGAACACTACCCATGAGACCTTTCAGGTTCAACCCTTTGCACAGTTCAGATTACCATATATATGTATGTATGCAAAATTCTTTTATTAGGGACTGATTGATGTGAAATTGTTGGTATGTGCGTGTAGTTGTTGGATCAAACACCAGCTTCATCTCTTGATAAAGTCAGCTGGAATGAGGTTATTAAAATTGGCGAACAAGTTTCCAAACAAGCTACTCTAGGTACTCTCTCTCTCTCTCTCTCTCTCTGTTTTGCAGTTGATTGTATTTAAAGTTCCAATTTTTGCTATTATGTGCTCTCTTATTGGTTTTCTTTGATGGGGTTTTCTACTTTTCAACTGTCTTTGTGAGATTCTTTCTCCAATTTAAGGTTGCCTACTTGACAGTTGATACCGTCTTGTGTGTAATTTTGATCTTGAAGAACATGAATTTGCCGTTATTGCTAAATTTTGCTTTACCAAGCAATCAATTTGTCGCTGAATTATTTCTTGAAAGTCGATGCTTTTGTTGATGCTCTTAATAATCTTTGTGCCGTTTTAGAGTGTACCAAAAATCTAATGTAATAGGGTGAATTGGATGTTTAATACTACGTAGGGAGTTAGCATCTGAGGCTTAGTTCAGTATGAGTATGATTATGCCCCTTCTTTGAAGAAATAAAAGGAATGCACATTAGAAGAAAACTTAAAGAGTTATTTGATCTGGCTTGTGAGAAAAGAATGACAAAGAAAGGGATAATTTTTCATTTAGTTTCACTTACACAGGCATTAATTGTGGGATTTGAAGCTTTTTAAAATCGTATTTAATCTTTCAGGAATATTGGCAGTCGTAGAACGAGATTATGGGCTGCTTAGATTGCATTCTTGTTCATTCTTAGCATGTCGTCTTCTTATTCAAATTTATTTGATGATGCTTCTTAAGTTCATTTTAACTTTATAAAGAAAATAAGCTTTACTTGCTTTTCCACCAAAGGTGAAGCTTTGCACTAGAGTCTAGGAGTTGCTGGCTGACAGACACACTTCCCCCACTTTAATCTCGTGGGAAATAATCTTCCATTCTATTATGTTACTCTATATTGCCATTTTCCTTTCTCCTATAACCTCTCTCCAAACTCATTGTTATGCATGTGTACACAAAAGATGGAAAAAAAAAAAATCAGTCCATTTCCGAACACCCCCTTTCTTTATCTGAATCTTTTGATTCTATTCGTAACTCTCAATTTTGTGGACTTTTTTCCCTTTAATCTTTTGATTCCCATATTGTTTGGCAGTGTAATTTACCACATTTAAAAATAGTCTTTGGTGTTTTTTCCATCATAACTGTAGTAAAAAACTACTTGAGATATTGCATTACAGGTCGTGGAATACTTAGAGCATGCTTATTAAAATCCCGATCCGTCATGCAATCCAGTATAGATAAATCGATCCCAATCTCTTGAAAAATCTCTAATTCATAGGATTTTAATGGATCATGATCAAGCTCTTATAGGATCGAAAATCTCTATTTGATTTGCAATTTTATCGACCTTAAGTTATGTTTTTTGTTAGGTGCATCTAGTTATTGAGCTGACCCAAGCCATCTTTCTTGTTTTAATACTAAAAGACATAATCCAAATGTGGTTAACCTATACACTTATTAGTTTATTGGAGAATTTTGGCGGATAAGAAAAAATAAAGAAAGTTTTCTTCTTTCAAGAAAGCTCTCTTAATTCTTTCATCTCTCCAACTGAACAATTGAAAGCAAGTGTTAGATTCGATCTCCTCTATCGGCAAATGATCACAGTCTCCTCTATCGGCGAATGATCATAATCAGATACTCTTCCATTTTTCTCTTATATTTTTTTTCTATTTGGATTTTGAATAGTCAAAGTTGTTTGTTCAACAATCTCTCAGATTTCCAATCTCTCCGCTTTATCCACCTTTCTTTGAAGTTAAGATTTAAATATTTCAATTATCCTATTTCTTTTCCTAAAATCTCACAGGAATAACAACCCATATTTAATTTTCAACCATTTTTAATGCTCAAATTGTAGATTCTTATACTTTCATGATTTATATTTGTCATAACATTCCTATTTGCGCATATATTATGCTTGTTTAATTTTGTAGATGTTTTTACCACTGTTGTGATGACTATTTTTTTCTTTTTTTTGGTTACCACAACAATGGTAAAAATATCCACAAATGTGGTAAAAACGACCACAATTGTGATAAATGGAAGTATGGTACCAAAAAAAAAATTCGGTACCGTAGTCAACTCCTAAAAACCTTGATCTAGAGTGTTGTAAATTAGATGCTGATATTTTTTTTGTGCCACGATGATTCTCACTTGAAAAATTATATTTCTATGCTTATATTCCTCTTAACACGTGTTTATTCTGCCAAATATAGCCCAATAGATGCAAATGTTAAGTTTTATGGATAACTGGAATCTGTAAAATAAATTGTCAAGAACTTGGAGAATCTTTCTGGTTCCTTTCAGATCTATTTGACCTGAAAGAAAATACTCGCATAGTACCATAATTTTGTCTACCAAGTTAGCTAGTCAGAAACATGTTGGAACCTTCTAAAAAAAATATTGCTTGAGCTGGATGTGTTTAAGCACAAGATTTCTCCAAAAGAAGTTGAAACAAACCTTTAATGTAAATCAGGCAAGAAAAAATAACCCTTGTAGATGTAATCCACGAACACACACATGTACCTAAACAAACCTAGATGCATAGAAATATAAGCACATGCTTACAATATCTACGGTAATTTTTTATACATTTTCCAGGTGACAGCTTCCACATGTTGGCTGTTTTATCTTATTGAAGATATTATCTCAGTTCATGCTAGCTTGTATATGGTTCATGACCTATTTTGCTTTCTTCATGAATTTATCCACACATACATCTTTGGATGACTTTAACTGCCTTTTAGGGTCCCCCGTTTTTCATCTGTTCTTAAGACCTAGCTCCTATTCTTTATCACCAGCCAGCTTTCCTCCTAGTGGTCTATTAGCCAACTGGTCGCTATGCAGTAGCTCTCCGCCTCTTTTGTTTCCGTTCTATTGCTTGCCTTTTTCACTTCTACCTCACCCTATGCTTAGCTAACCATGTTCTTCGGAAGAAAAACCTATTGGCTTAAAGGGTTCATACTTCACGTCTCTGAAATTTAGCCATAACTACTGGCCATGGCCTTTTGTTACTGACCTTTGAATATGCTCCTTGTCCGCAAGTCTTGGGAATATCAAACAATTTGCTGGGATTTTAGATTGGGCAGCTTATAGAATCCTTATCCAAGGCATCAATTACAAGGATGGCTACAATTGGCCACAATGGCCATATTTTACAGGGTGCATTTTGGGTCTTTAGAGCTGTGGCACAGGTTTGCTGAACATGCCATCAATGATATGACTTACTAACTACTAACCTTAGCACTAGACATATATCTTTAGCAGCACCGAGTTCCTGGTCGTATATGCACTTCATGGTGATTTAGGTGTACTCTCTAAACACCATTTTCATTTCTTTCTTATCAATCAGAGAGAAGAACCATTTTGGTTTTCTACGAGTGTTATATTATTGCAATGATTGCATGTTTGAAGATCTAACACAATGATCATATTTTTATTGAATTTGAAAAGCAGTGTTGTAACATGAAGGGAAGCTGGAAGCATGTACTTTGATTCCTTCCTATATTTAGTTTCTTTGATAGTGACAGGATGTTGGTAGATATTAGCAGTCTAATTGAGCCTCTTGGCATGTTGCACGAGGGGATAGGATTCTTCGAGTAAGTAACTGTGTCTTGAATTTGCCATGCAGTTGGAATGCTTTGGACTGGAGAAACACCAGAAGTTAAAGCACTCGAAGAGAACATGGCAACATACTTCAATACACTACAGGGTTTCCTATTACTTGCACATGGAAGTTCAGTAGGTGCAGGACCTACCCTTTTGTCTAGCATCCATGCATCCGTGAAACAAGTTGTCGATTGCAGTTTTATGTTATTGAAAGAGTCTGTCTCTGCCTATGGTACTCTCTCTCTCTCTCTCTCTCTCTCTCTCTCTCTCTCTCTCACACACACACATGCCCAAAGTACTGGAACTTTCGAAATGATTAAGTTGACGTTGCTTTCGCTTAGATCTTTTGAGTATTAAGTTATAACTGCACTGAATGAATAAATTTTATTTTGTGATTTTCCTGTGTCTGATGTTGATGTGTGATCTTAGTCATCGGCTGCATCACAACTGTAACAATGATTCAATGTATTAAACACTGGTTAAAGATTACAGTTGGATGTCTTTTGGAGGAGAATATGATGATAGTTACGAGGTGTAGTAATTTTTACATCTGTTGGGATTTAAGGAGCTTGCATGTGTTCCATACATCAGTTTCTGTGCTCCACACACACAGAATGTCTCATTTTTCCCTTATATCCCATTTTTTCTTCATGCGAGAAAAGTTCCCTTAAAACAGAATACATCAAGGATAAGCAAAAACTGCGAGGACTTCATCCTCGGTCTATCATGTTTTACAGTGTGAGTATACTACACTGGAAATAAATGGAAAACAATGACTTCAATTGCTGAACCACTCTGTATTCCCTTGAAACGTTTCTCAAAGAGCTGCCCTTTAAACCTTTTAACGCTAGGGTATATAGAGTTGAGAAAAGTTTTACTTATGAAATTGCACTTTCATTATGGTTTTGCGCATAGGAAGAGGCAAAAATATGGATTCTACCACCATGTTCTCTTCTAGTAATTCTGTTTGATTCCTGGATGTGACTGCAAATTAAAGATTTTAATCATACTATGCCATTTAACACTATCTGGCTCGGTAGAGCAGCAACCCTCTTGCAAGAAGGGGATAACTGTGTCCAATCGGGCTTGATATTAGGCTTTGTTGCGTTACAGGAATGTCATCTGACAAATAGATGAAGTGCCTACCAAGTTCCAATAACTCCTCGAGGCATAAAACAAACTGATACTTACCTGTTTTTCTTTCCACAAGATTATTTTCTGTATACTCATTTTACAACATGTCCACGAGTTATGCATAGTTCATTCATCTTGATTGTTCATTTCAACTAGTTAAATATGAATGGTATGTTTTCTTGGTAAATATTGATGCAGTTTCAGTGAATTTATTACATTTCTTGAAATTTCTTCCAGTCAAAGCAAGCAAGTTATTTCTTGATTTCTTCTGAATCAATGTGCAGGATCTCGCAGTAAAGACCAGAAACTCTCAATCCCGCAGTTGGTAGGTACAGTCTGGGATGCTTGTAGTGCCCTTAAGAAGACTCCTGCTACCAATATCACTGCAATCGGGCGAGCAATGACGCAAGTTGCAGTTTCCATGAAGGATGTTCTCCGGGAGATGGAGGAGCTTAAGCCAGCTTCATCTGACCCAGTAGATGAAGCTTTGGATGAGACCTCTATACAACCTGAAGGTGAACCCCATGAAAGTGATGATTCATGTGGAGGAGATTTGGGCAATGACCTGTCACCCGAAGAGATTAAAATTGCTCAAGTTGCTATTAATGTTGTGTCTGGAACAGTTGCAGTCATAAAGGAACTTATCCGTTCCATCACAGGATTGCTTAAGCAGGAGAATTCTGATAACAGCAGTGATTTTGTGAACTCTTTGGAGGGACTGTTGAAGCTCTGTCAAGGAATTGGCCAACAGATTGATGAGCTTGGGGCTTGTCTTTACCCTCCACAAGAAGTTCCTGCTATGAAAGCTGCTTCAGAAAAAATGTCCAGCATTCTTGATGAAATGCAAGTGGAGTTGGAAAATCATAAAGGCTCTTCAGAAGCTTTCCTCAAAGCATGCACTGATTTAAGGAATTGGTTGAGACAACTGGAATCTGAACTAGTTTGCTCCAGTGCTACTGATCTAGTGCCCCAAATGGAGAAACTTTTGTTGAGCAGTTAGAGAGAGAGTCTTATCTGTAAATTCTGCACTGTGATCGAATGTTGCTGTAGTTTGACCTTAGAGTTTTGGTAATATATATTTTTCTTGCTTTGAGCCCAAATGAATAAAATAGCATTCTGAAACAGTCTCTCTGTGTAAATATAACCCTCTCTCTAGATCACGTAGGAACGGAAGATTTGTGCAGTGTTTTTTTTTTTTTTTGTTAGGGGTGTCCGAGTCAGCTTGTACGCCCATCTCTGATTCAGTTAAAGGTAGATTATTTAAGTCCGGATTAGGGTATTCATGAGGGATAAATTTCTCATGGCCAAAGCCCAAAGGATTTATAAGATTTGAATTTAAAATATTTGGATTTAAAGTCCGTCGTTATTATCATTTGAGTTGTCCCTTAAAGTTGCTATGCTGTCTTTACTCATAAAATTATCTCGGAAAATCTTATTGAGCCAAATATGTAAGGGTAAATAATATTTTGCACCACAACAGATTTTCAAATTTTTAATTAACACTTTGAAAGATTGAAATTCCTCTCACTCTCAATCAAATAAAAAGGTAATAATGTGCTTCAGTTTTTATAAAATTGATTACAACTATTTCATATAAAATACTTAAAACTTAACTATCATGGAAACAATTATGTATAGAAATATAATAATATAACCAATGTAGGGAATAAATTTGTCGTAAAACGCAACCGATATGTAATTTTAGATTACATTATCATATTTTTATTTAATTGATGGTACAATGTGAATATTTTATCTGGAATAAAATGAGAATTTTAAAAATCTTAAGGATACAAAGTGTCATTCACCCAATATATAAATAAGTCTAGGCTTTTTATGTTTTGTAGTGTATTTTCAGTTGATTTTTCGACAGGAACAGAATACAGTACAACTACCAATCAACAGGACTCCCTCAAGCATCCCCACAATCAGACAGAAGAAAGAACAAGAACCAAAAAAATATTGAAACACGAAGTACTATACACTTTTCAAGAAGCCATATCAACATGGTGGTGAAGGCACTCATGCACAGGTTCAATCCAAACCACAGACAAAATTTATGAAAATAAATCTGATGTTCTCATTATGTACTAATAATACAAGAAATCTGTTACAAGAACAAGTACAAACCGCACTCAGATTTGAATAAAGATATCTAATGCTACTCGACGTTTTCGTCATTTCTATGATACATACATTTGGCAATCCAAAAGAATATAGCAAGGTTTAAAACTTTGGATTCAGCGGACAATGAGAGCAGATCCCACACTCTGACATTGCATAAAACCAATCATCGCCCAATGAGCTTTACCATCCATGCACCGCCTAGGTAGAGACCCAGAAGAGGGCCTGCCAGAAGTATCTGAGTAAGAGGGTCGGTAGATGGTGTGAGTACAGCAGCTGCAACCACAGCACCAACCACAACATATCTCCAAATTGAGAGCATTTGATCTCCAGATACTAATCCAACTTGTCCCAACAGGAGTTGTATAACTGGAACCTGTAGAAGAAAAGAACCAATAGGTTTGTTAAGATTTGATTGATGCATTGTAAAGACACAACATTTTGAACCAAAATTTGATATCTCAGCATTTGAATGGAAAAACCTGTTCATTAAATCAAATCCATCTTTAAATACCTCTATTTTCTTCAAGCCTCTCCCTCTCTCTATATATGTGTGTGTGTGTGATAAAAAGAATGAGGGCACTCCTCATAATCAAATATTGGTTTTAGAAGCCACTTTACCCAGGAGAATAAAAANGTACAGACTACTCTAAAATTGCTCTTCTATATTAGCTCAAGTTCCATGATTATTTCTATTTCAGCCAATGTATTTACTAAGAATGGACAGCAGGCGCTTCACAAAGATTCTAGCATAAAACAGTTGGCAAGCTAGACAGGGCATATGACCTAATGGCAGGGTTACAAAGAAGAAGATTAAGATTTAAGAAGGAATTAAAATGTACAATCAAACCACCACGATTTAGATCAATATTTGTTTATAGGGGAATGAAAATAAACAATTGTAACTCATTGCTTATAGCACCAAAATATGGACTATAATTAAATCAAGGATCAAAATATCGTTTCGAAATGGTCAAAACGTCCGAAACGTTTCCGTTTCGAAGGATACTGAAACGAATCAGTGATAAAATCGAAATTCTAATATTTCGATATATTCCATAATGTTTTGATATGTTTTATAATATTTCAATACATTTGCACAATTGTTTTGGAATGTTTCATGTTATTTTGATATATTTCGATCAATGTTTTAGAAAAATAATTTTTAAATTTTTTATTTTTTTCATTATGTTTCCAAAACAGGTCGAAACGTTTCTGAAACACGTCAAAATGTTTTCATTTTCTAGATGACCGAAATAATACACCGAAACAAAATTTTGATCCTTGATTCAAATGTGAGTATAAAAAACATTCACTTCACTAAGTGTTTCAGTAATAATTTCTACTTAAGGGTACATAACTAATAAGCATAAAAGTTACATTATCTCCACGGAGTAGATTTTTTTGGACAAAAACATACTGCATACAGTTTTAACACCATATATGTTAAATATACACACAATAATCTAGTGCAATAACCTAACTCTCATTTCTGTTGGTAATATTTGATAACTTTATTGTTGGAGTATAATCTAATTTATTAGGGTTTCTTTTTTCCTTTTTATCCTTACAATGACTTTTATATCTTGGTTAAACCACAAGGATGTTTAGGTCAATTTAGTAATATTATTTGGCTATATATACGAGACTCTACTCTTAGTTTGAGTATCTCTTTTCACTCGCAAATATTCCAAGTTAGTATCAAAGTCATACCCTAACCCTAACCCTAACCCTAACCCTAACCCTAACCCTAGCCTCCACCATAATCCTAANGGCCACAATATCCTGCTACCTGCGTCAGGAATAAAACCATTGTTTTAGTATATGCAGCAGCTTGGTTCATCTAAGTACCGAAAGAAGTTAAGTGCTCCAGGTTGGAACATATCTTGAAGAACAATATCAAAATAGTGAACACCAAATNCCACCATAATCCTAACAGCAAACCTAACAACTCATCCAAGAATAGCACAGTTCTTAGAAAACCATGCAAAATATTTAGAGTCGTCATCAGTCGACTTTGGGTGAGATTCTGTCAACCAACCAAACTTTCTTACACAGCCTAAGAAAAGTTGTAATGAGCGTGACCACTCAACAAAGTTACGACCAATCAACAACTGTGTCGTAACCTTCTGAGAGATTATACCCGGTAATGCAACTGCGCCAATAGGTACAATATAATGGTCAAACATAAAAGTGGGAGAACCATGCGGTACATTATAGGTGGAAGTACTAACAGCAGAGGACTCAACAGTAGAGGTCTCAACGGTAAGAGTCTCAAGTCCCTCAATAGTAGTCATATCAACAATAATACGTGGGCACCTGTGACAAAAAATACTCTAAGATAAGTAGAGGGATAAAATAAGGGATAACAATATACCTCAAATCGAAAAGTAACGAGAGATAAAAAAGGTCCAGAAAGCTCCCAAATAATCAGATCAGGGTACCCAGAAATCTAGTGAATATATAAGTGATTTATTACATCAAAAGAAGATCAACGGAAAAGAGGATCTGACCCCTCTTAAAAAGGTCCTAGATGCTGCAACCCTAGAAAAAAAATATTAGTGGCGCAAAGAGAGGGTGACACTGTGACGAAGATGCTAGGTAGGCTCTGCTTGATGGGTTTGGGTCACTGGGTTGGATGTGGCTAGTTTGACTGGCTGGTTTTGCTAGAGTTGTCACTGGAAGGCTGTCGGGTTGTCGGGGTTTTTTGGTTGTCTATGGGTGTTTCGTTGGGCTGTTGACGGTGCTACTTGGGTTGGCTGGGTTGGGAGTTGCTGGCTTGCTGTTGGGTTGACCGGAGTGGATGACTAGCGACTATAGTTGGGCAGTGGCTAGGACTGGTTGGGCTGTCGCTGCAAGCAGTGGGAAAGTGACTAGGCAGTGGTGGTTGTTAGTTGTCGGTGCAGTGTTGTTGGGCTGACTGGTATATGTGGATGACTAATGGCTATGGTTGGGCAGTGGTTGGGGCTAGTTGGGCTGTCGCTGCAGACAGTGGGAAGGTGACTGGGCAGTGGTGGTTGATGATTTAGGGCGTCGTCATTCGTGGCGTGATCGGCATCCAATTGTTCGTTATGGTTGGACCGCCAGAAATTTATATCCGATATCTACTGATGTTTCTTATGATGATCTGTCTCCTACATTTTGAGCTAATAATATAGCCTTATCAGATATGTCAGTTCTTCGCTCTATTTCAGAAGCTATGCGGGAGCCTCCATGGGTTCTTGCCATGCAAACGGAGATGGACACTCTTCAGCGTAATCATACGTGGAATCTTATCTCTTTATCTTCAAGGGTGAAGCCTGTTGGCTGTCGTTGAGTTTACACCCTGAAGTTTCTTGCAGATAATACTATTAATCGTCACAAAGCTAAGCTTATGGCGAAAGGCTTTACTCAAATACCAGATCATGATTTTTGTGCTACCTTTGACTCTGTGACAAAATTGACTATTATTCGGTTGATTATTTCTTTAGCTACAGAGTATTCTTGGCCCTTGGTTGAGTAGTACTCTTGGACTCTTCATCAGTTAGATTTGAAAAATGCGTTATTTTTTGGTGATCTGGATGAGATTATTTATATGGATGCACCACCAGGCTTTCATGGTGAGGAGAATTATATTAAGAAGATGTGTCGACTGTTTAAGTCTCTTTATGGACTGAAACAGTCACCACGAGCCTGATTCTCTCGGTTTAATGGTATAGTTGTACATTTAGGGCTCACCAGATGTCATTTTGATCATACATGTTTTATTCGACAAAATACTTCTAGATAGTGTGTCATCCTTTTGGTATATGTAGATAATATTATAATTACTGGGATGATGTTTCTGGAATTGCACAAGTCAAGATAAACCTTGGGAAGGCCTTCAATGTGAAGGACATTGAATTTCTAAGATACTTTCTTGAGATTGAGGTTGCCCATAGCAGTAAGGGTATTGTTCTTTCGTAGAGAAAGTATATTCTGGATTTCTCTTGGACACTGGGATGCTGGGTACAAACCAACATCATCACCCATGATTCCAAACCTAAAACTTACTGCTGAAAGTAAAGAGTTAAGAGATCCAACTGTCTATTAGAGCTTGGTAGGTAGACTTATCTACTTAGCCAACACTAGGCCAAACATTTCATTCGTTGTCAACCGAGTTAGTCAGTTCATGTCATGAACTGACATTCACAAGCCGTGTCGGCTTCATCTTGATGTAATTTATCATATTCTTCGGTACCTCAAATCTTGTCCTGAACTTGAGTTGTTCTATGTATCAGGATCTCAGACTGGGTCTCTAATCTGTTATTCAAATTCAAATTATGGGAGAGCATGTGACGGTCGATCTACTACAAGATTTTGTACTTTTTGAGGGGCTCATCTTATCTCTTGGAAGAGCAAGAAGCAGTTAGTTGTCTCTCGCTCGTTAGTATAGGCAGAGTATCGAACACTAGCACTTGACATATGTGATATTATCTGGCTACGATCGATTCTTGGCGAGTTGAAATTTTCAGTAACTTCTTCATCTACATTATATTGTGATAATCGATCTACTATTCAGCTCGCTTCTGCCTCTGTACTACACGATAGGATGAAGTATATAGAGATCGATGTTCACTTTCTTCGAGAGAAGGTTAGTTGTAATATTGTCACGCCATTATTTGTGGGGACAGTGATCAGGTTACGGATGTTTTCACTAAAACTGTCGCTCTATCCATTCTCAACAACTCCATTGTCAAGCTTACCTTAGAAGATATTTTTGCGCCTAACTTGAGAGGGAGTGTTGGAGTATAATCTAGTTTATTAGGGTTTCTTTTCCCTTTTTTTACCCTTTTTTACTTTGTCTAAACCATAAGGATGTTTAGGTCACTTTGTATTATTATTTGGCTATATATACGGGACTTTACTCTTAGTTTGAGTATCCCTTTTCACTCACAGATATTCCAAGTCTTATTAAATTTAGCTATTATAAAAACTAGGAATGAAGATTTTTGTCAATGAAGGGTAAGAATTAGGAAGTAGGCAAAATAGAAAAGTCAATGGAACCTTTCAGTCAAATATTAAACTTCCTTGGCGTGATCCTTTGAAAACAAATCAAAAGAATAGATTAATGAAGATTTATGACTATTGTTGGTTCATTTTTGTCTTACTATGCAACTTCAAAATGTAACCAATATGTTTTTTGATGGCACTAGATGATTCATATGTAGTAAACTTTTTCATGTTCCTGAAGAAGTTTGTTCCATGAGAAGAATAATGGATATCGAATTTGTAATGCGTGACTAGGCCTGTCAATGGACCAAATTTTAGTCCAAATATGATCTGAATCCGTTAACATAATATGGATCAATATTTTCATCAATATATTCAAATTTGATCCGAATCCGTTTACATATCTTAAATCGGATATGGATATGAATATATAAAAATCCGATCCGATTAATATATACATATGTTATATATAACATACACACATATGTATACTGATTATTTGTATTTGATCTTAAAAAAAAAGATCAAATGTCCGATTATAAGCGAACTCGGACATGAAATAATATTTTTCTATACTTCAGGTAAACGGATCGGATTTAGTAACGAATTTTTAATCGGATTCGGGATGGACCTAGATCCGATTCACATCCGATCCGTTGACAGGCCTATCTGTGACCAGAAGAACAAAAAGGAGAAAGGACTTCTCTCTCAATACAAAATGTGATGCATTACAATGTAGCAGCTGCAGGTGCAGACAGAAGCAAAATTCTTTCCCTTCCTCTTGTAANGACGTGATCGGCATCCAATTGTTCGTTATGGTTGGACCGCCAGAAATTTATATCCGATATCTACTGATGTTTCTTATGATGATCTGTCTCCTACATTTTGAGCTAATAATATAGCCTTATCAGATATGTCAGTTCTTCGCTCTATTTCAGAAGCTATGCGGGAGCCTCAATGGGTTCTTGCCATGCAAACGGAGATGGACACTCTTCAGCGTAATCATACGTGGAATCTTATCTCTTTACCTTCAAGGGTGAAGCCTGTTGGCTGTCGTTGAGTTTACACCCTGAAGTTTCTTGCAGATAATACTATCAATCGTCACAAAGCTAAGCTTATGGCGAAAGGCTTTACTCAAATACCAGATCATGATTTTTGTGCTACCTTTGACTCCGTGGCAAAATTGACTATTATTTGGTTGATTATTTCTTTAGCTACAGAGTATTCTTGGCCCTTGGTTGAGTAGTACTCTTGGACTCTTCATCAGTTAGATTTGAAAAATGCGTTATTTTTTGGTGATCTGGATGAGATTATTTATATGGATGCACCACCAGGCTTTCATGGTGAGGAGAAATATATTAAGAAGATGTGTCGACTGTTTAAGTCTCTTTATGGACTGAAACAGTCACCACGAGCCTGATTCTCTCGGTTTAATGGTATAGTTGTACATTTAGGGCTCACCAGATGTCATTTTGATCATACATGTTTTATTCGACAAAATACTTCTAGATAGTGTGTC